CAACTTTAATTACAATTGTTTTCCCCAGATATATATTTTTTTAAAAAGCCTGGCCATGGTTTCGAATCTCCATCGCTTGGAAATACAATAATCTCCAGAAAATATTTGCAATTGTACGTCTACGTGGCAGTCCATATTGCACTTGTAAAGTTTACAAGCCCCATTTATAATTCTGATCCTTCCCTCCCACCAAAAAAGCTGTATCCTAAGAAATATTCTTGCACCCCAAAATTCCTTTTGGGGGATGCATCAGAAAAAGGCCATAAATTTACACATGGTTTTTCTACCCAAAAAGCGTAGTCAAGAGATATCCCACTTTTCAAGTCTGCTTATTTGCTGTGAAGGTTGGGATCTAGTTTCAGAAGTTGTAAGAGTGACATTTGCTAGACGTTTTGCAGAGTGGGTTTGTGTGTGTGTGTGTGTGTGTGTGTGAGAGAGAGAGAGAGAGAGAGAGAGAGAGAGAGAGAGAGAGAGAGAGAGAATGGAGGGTGTGTGTGCAAACCATAATCCTTCCTACTCTGGATATACAAGGGAACATCAGAAATCAACTTTCCACCCTTGAAAAGTTAGCTCTGCCACCCAAAAACTTTTCACCCTCTTAAAAATGTCAGTTGCCAAAGGAAATTTATGGGGTGCATCTAAGTTTTTTTGGGGGGGACCAATATTTGACACTGTCCATTTGGATTCCAGATTTTGGGGTGCTGTTTGGCCAGTCTGGCTCCAGAAATGTGAGTTTTAACCACAGCAAATATGGCGTATCTTTCCCAAATTAACCCCAATTGGGGAAAAGTGGTTTTACGTTCGTTAACGTCCCACAAACACCTATCACAACTGGTGATGACACAACCCCTCCCAAAATAATATCACACAGACACCCCCCCCCATCACAACTGATGACACAACCCCTCCAAATTGACTTAAAGACAGATGGAGGATTAAAATATTTAATCCTCTTTAAGATGGGATGAAACCAAAATGGATCAAAATGAGACCAGGAGAGTTCAATGATACTGTTTTTGATAATACAGATGTTTCTTGAGTTACGACCGACACCGATTCGAGGTTACGACGTCGCTGAAGAAAGGGACTTGCAGATGTCCTGATCCTCAAAAGTTGGATAATATTTTCCGATAAGCAATTTGGGGTAAACCGAAAGAGAAAATTTGGGAAATTTTAAACCTGTCAACTGTGGTTTAAGGTAGCCAACATACACTTCAGGAGGGGCTTCCTGGTTGCATTTACCTGTGAAAATCCTGTTTTGTTTTGTTTTCTTCTTTCTCTCTAGAGAATCAAATCCACAGTCTCTCCATTTATATTTACAGTGGCTTTTGAAATTTAAGCTGCCTTTGCAAGATTGCACATGTTGTGGCTTTGAAAACACGACGTATTTCGGATTGCGCCTCTCCTTTTAACACCGGCCCCGAATTTGATATTTGGGGATAGATGACGGGCCCCGGATTTCTCAAATCGGGAAGGGGAGAGGTCGAAAGTGTGTCTCAGAGGCAAAACATCCCCGATGCCAGATCGGTTCTCACGTCTTCCTCCTCCTCCGTTGGAAAGCGATCTCCTTTCTTTGCTGGCGTTGTGGACTTCGCTTCGCGGTTGCAAAATCCCGTCCATTGAGTCGGTGTTTAATCTCAGCTTGGGCTGCTTGCGGGTTGACTCACTGAGGTCTTGTGACGACAGGGGTGGTTTTAAACGTGGGGAAGATGTTAGAAACCTTTTTTGGAAGGAAGGAAAGGAAGGAAGGAAGGAAGGAAGGAAGGAAAGAAAGAGAAAGGAAGGGAGGAGGAAGGAAAGAAAGAGGAAGGAAGGAAGGGAAAAGGAGAGGGAAAGGGAGGGGAGAAGGAAGAAAGGCTGGAAGGAAAAGAGAAAGGGAAGGAAGGAAGGAAAGAGAGAGGAAAGAAAGAAACACTTAATGACGCGATCAAAATCGACCACCGACCCTCACGAAAGTTGCTGCCACGTCCCCGGGGGCCACACAATCCCCTTTTGCGACCTTCCGACGAGCAAAGACTCACTTAACGACCGGGTGGCTCACCTTAAACCTCTGCAATGATTCGCTTGACGACTACAGCCAGAAAGGTCACAAAACGGGGAGCTAAACTCCTGGGACAAGGCAACCATCGTAAATGCGAGTCAGGATGCCACCAAGGTCGTAAGCCTGAGAAAAACAATCCCAGGTCCCCCTTTTTTTTCCCCCAGTGCCGTTGTAAATTTGGAACGGCCACTGAACGGAACACCGTTGCAATGCGAGGACGATCTGTATTAAAAGTCGCATTAAAAATGGATCCGAAATTCTCGCTGGGCATCCAGAAGAGATGCTTAAAATCTTTTCGTCTTCACAACATCAAAACCGGGTCAGTCAGTGGCGTTTCTAATTACTTTAGCGGCGGCCTCCATCTCTTTTTAATGACAACTCCACCCTGACGGGCCAGCTTCTGCTGAATTGTGTTTCTTGCACAACTGTGTTTGTGCATCCTTTCTTCAAAGCCGGCGTGACAATTCCTGGGCCACGCCAAAAATGCTAGGCTGGGAAGTCATGTGTTGTTGTTGTTGTTGTTGTTGTTATTATTATTATTATTATTACTATTACTATTACTATTATTATTATTTTCCCCAGGCTAATCTGACCAATTTAGCCAAGTAAGTCCTTGATGTGCGACCTTCCAAAGTTTCCGTCGCTAAGCCAGACAGTTGTTAAGTGACTCCCTGTATGAATCACTGCTCTGTCATTTAGAGGCAAGAGTAGATAAATTGAGGAGTCTACCTGTTGCTTCCCAGTTTGAGTGCTTGCTCTCGTTTCGAGAGAGGATAAGTTGATAGATAGGGTGGTTAAGTAGTAAGAAGAGTCTATCCGTTGCTTCCCTGTATGAGTATTTATTTTTAAATAAGTTTTGTATATTTCAGTTTCAAAACTACAAACATTTTCACTTTTTTCTCAAGCCGTGTGTCATTTCGGCATAAAATGTGCCACCTCCCTTCACCATTCACATTGATATTATTTCTCTAAACCTGGAGTTAAGGTACATCAAACAGCTCAACATTATACAACTCTCCTCATTACATCTCATTATTCTCACCCTACATATATTAACAGTTATCATCTGATTTATATCCCTATCCTGGTTTATTTTCTATTCTCCTTTATTCTTCTCCGTTTCCAAATAAATGCCTTTGGCTGCTCCGTTCTTCTTACAAGAGAAATCTGGATTTCTTTTTATCAGTCCAGCGGACCTTATTCGAAGCTGTTTCTCATTTCCACTTCCAGGTTCTTCAATTCGGACGGAGGATACACTATTCAGGTGTCCATCAACGACTACTTGGATATTTACTGTCCCCATTATCAACGGGAGTTGGTCCTTGGAAAGCCGGAGTCCTTCACGTTGCTTATGGTCAACGCCGAAGGATACCAAGGTTGCTACGAAACGCCGGGAGCCTTCAAACGGTGGGAGTGCAACCGTCCGTATGCCGCCTACGGGGCCGTCCGATTCTCTGAGAAAATCCAGAGGTTTACCCCATTCTCACTGGGCATCGAATTCCAGAGCGGCCGGGAATATTACTACATATGTAAGTTAAAAGAGTTTTCGATTTATTTAATACCTAAGTTTATGAATAAACTTGTAAAATATGGGTTAAAAGGAGAGGAGAGAAAAAAGAATAGCAAAATGACAGAATATCAGAGCTGGAATTAAAAATTAAAATTATTAAAAATTTAATGGAATTAAAGAGTTAAACCCCTTTCTTCCTTCCTCTTTCTTTCCTTCCCTCCTTCCTTCAAGGTTGTCTAGTCCAACCCCAAGGAAAGGAGGGAGGGGAGGGGAGGAGAGGAAAGGAAAGGAAAGGGAAGGAAAGGAAAGGAAAGGAAGGAAGGAAAGGAAAGGAAAGAAGGGAAGGGAAGGAAAGGAAAGGAAAGGAAAGGAAAGGAAAGGAAAGGAAAAAGAATAGCAAAATAACAGAATATTAGAGCTGGAAGGGATCTTGGAGGTCGTCTAGTCCAACCCTAAGGAAGGGAGGGAGGAGAGGAGAGAAAAAAAGAATAGCAAAATAACAGAATTTCTGAGCTGGAAGGGACCTTGGAGGTCGTCTAGCCCAACCCCCAAGGAAGGGAGGAGAGGAGAATTAAACCAAGTTAAATTACGGTTTAAAGTTAGCAGGATTAATGCAATTACAGAACATTTCTTTTATTCTTCCCTGGAGTCTTGACAGCTGTCCTGAACTCCAGGTGACATATAAAGGATAAATCTGCTATCCCTTTTAGCCCGGCAACAACAACCCTGCAGGGTAGGTTGGGTTCAGAAATCAGGATTGGATCCCTAAAGCACACCGCTTGGATGCTAGCTTAGTTTTTAATCTGTCTTCAGCCCGGGTTTTCTGTTTCTCCAGTGGCAAACCCTGCCCGATTTGGAATGCATCGTATTCTGTCTTTGCGCTTCTGATGAAAACGTTGCTCCTGTCTTCCTGATTTGCCGTGCTCGATTAAAAATATAAAATAATAATAATAAAAACAGATACACGCCGAGAACGTCACGGTTCTGAAGCCCAGTGTCGGCCTGGCCTGAATCTCCATGCCTTTTTGGATGGGTTTATTGAAATAAACACGCCTGTTACGAGAACCCTCCGCCTGCGTGGAAATTCACAAAACGAGGAAGGGGACGTAAAAATTGTCCTCGCTGCAACCTGCATTTTCGATGCCCTCCAAATGCCACGAGACGCATTCAAAGTTGGCATGGGGGCATTTTTGTAAGCAATGCATATATATATATATATATAAGCTGGATACCCATGTGCTTCGTTATGAAACTTATGTGGTCGGGCTTAGTTTTTGAGGAGGAAAATAAGGGGTGGGTGGGAAATTCAGCCTCTGCCTACCAGCATCCATCGGTATTCATCTGGCTAGCGTCCTGTCAGTGTGTGAGAGAGTTGAGGGCTGTTTGGAAACTGAAAGAGTATTTGCTGTGTGAAAAAGAAGGAGACAGCAAGGAGCCTGGGCGTGGCTTAGCTCAACTGCTCTGTACTGAAGCTGCTTGGTGCTTTGAAACTGGAACTCCTCTCCTCTGCTTGTGTTTTGCATTTGGAAGAGATTTCTTTCCAGGTGGGGGAGGGGGAGCAGAACTCCTTAGCATCAGAGCATCATCATCATCATCATCATCATCATCATCATCATCATCATCATCATAATATAGGAAATATTCTAAGGGTCTGAGGGTCATTTGGAAAAACCCTTTCTTAGTGAGCCCCTAGAAGCCAAAAGGAACATACGTGCCAAATTTCAAGTTTGTAGGCTTGACGGTTTTGTGATGATGCATGAGTGGTATTTTGCTTTTATATATATAAATAATATAATATAATAGATATATAGAATATAGATATATAGATATCCCTGTTTATCACCTGTCCTATTATCCTTACGGTCAGCAAAAACATTTACAAAAATTAATATGGCCTTTTTTTAGGAATCAGCTTGTCTGGAATATGTTTGGTGGCCACATAAATAACTACAGTCGGGCGGATTAATCTTATCGATTGAAAAAAGGGTGCAAACTTGGACATTATATTGGACAATCGTTTGCATAGGGGGGTCTTGGATGTGCAACAATTTATTTAGGACCAAAAAAAAAAGAGTGAAAACGATACAAACAAATGCACCGGGTTGATTTTGCTTGGTTAAAACTTGGCCGTTTGATCTTCTAACCACCATTCTTGGCTTGTTTTGGTTCCGGCAGCTATCCCTTCACCGGAGAGTCCTGGCCAGTGTTTGAAGCTACGCATTTTGGTCTGTTGCAAAGCCACCACCAGTAAGTTTGGCCTGTCCCCCCCCCCCCCCCCAATTTGCAGGCGTCCACCATTTGTGAAATCAAACCGGCAGAACGGTCGTTGAAAGGAAACGTCCTGAAGTTGAAGACCACCTCTGCCGCTTCCCTAAATGCTCTGGCCGTCTGGGGATGATGGGGGTTGTGGTCTTATTGCCTTGGACGAGATGGCTAGACGTGGGGGAGGATTCGAATCGGCTTAGATCCATTTTCTCAAGTTTGTTCGCTCTGCGGGGAGGGTTGGTGTCCCTTTTCTTGAGACTTTCTTGCATGGGGGAAAGGAGACCACGGGGCGATCACTGCCTTCTTCCTGTTTCCTTTCTAGCTGCAGACCCCGCAACGGAGGGGCCCAAATCTCAGCCCCGAGGGAGAGGCGGTCCAGAGAGTGAGTTTATTATTTGGGAATTAATAGATAGTGGCTACGTGATCTGATTTTCTCCATGGCTCTCCCTTGCAAGCGTTGGGTGGGTTGTTTATCTAGCTTGCCACTTTGGCCAGGTGTTAAATGCTCTTGGCTGAACGCCCAGAAGTTCAATTAAGCCTACGAAGAGCTTTCCCACGGCTGCAACGGCAGTCAGCATGAAAAAAAAAAAACACCCTTCCAACGGTCACAAAAACGGACCGTCGTAAATCAAGGACAACCTGAAATTCAATCTTCAATTTTTGGGGTGGGTGGGTGTTCCTATCTCTGCATTCACTCTCCCTTTCTCCTTCTCTCTTCTCCCCCCACCTAGAAGCAGTTGTCGTTCGTGCACACAGCCCTGCCCCGATCGGGCTTAGTGTCACCTGCCTGGCTCTCCTGGTGGTGCCCTTTTTCTGGCTCTGACTGGAGGGGATTTGGATTGTGTGCCTCCCCCCAAGACTCGGGCCGGTTAGGGAGCGCTGACCCCGCACTGTTTATCCCCGCTGCGGAGAGGCTGACCGATCGCTTGGCACTTTAGATTTTGCCGAAGACCCCCCCCCCTCCTCAATTTCCCCTTCAATTGACCACAAAGGTGCTTTGGGGACGGATGGACAGATAGCGGTCCCAAATCCCGAAGGAAGACCTCCTTAAGCCCAGATGATCCTCTCCGCTCCCATTCCCACGCCGGAGGATCTTCGAGGAGAGCGTAAGTCTTGGGAGAAAAGGGCATGGATGAATGAGAGGGGTCCTTGGAGGTCATTTAGTCCAACCCC